CCGCCGCTGCGTCGGATCCCATGTGGAGGCCGGTTCCCGCTCACTGGCTGAGCGCGGCGCGGGCGCGACACTGCGGGTTGCGATCCCGTTGCTGGTCAGTAAAAAAGACAAAAAGGAAAAAAAAAAAAAAAGAATACATTTCTTTTGTTTGTTTGTTTTTGACAAATGCAAGACCAAGTATTTATTACAGAAATAAGCACAGCTATCTTAAAATCCATGTGCTCTTTCCTTTTCTTTGGGGGCGGTTACCCCTTGTATTTTTTGTATTGGTTATGAATATTCATGAGATACAAAGTTGATTGTCACCCATCATGTCCAAGATGGGAAGGCCGGATTCAAACCGGCAGCATGCCCATTACCACAAGTTGTGTTTGTACCCCGTGTCCCCCACCCAATTATCCCCAACTTCCCTCCCCTTCCCCCTTTCCCCAAAATTCCACTTTGTAGCCCAAGGTATATTCTCTCCCTCTGCAAGTCTAATGCACCACTGTGGTCTGTCTTTCCTCCCTTCTTTCTCTCTTAACTCCCACATATGAGTGAGCACATGCAGTATTTATCCCTCTGTGCTTTGCCTATTTCACTCAACATGAGCTTCTCCAAGCTCATTCATGTTGTTGCAAATGGGAGAATTTCAAAGCTATTGTAACCAAAACAGCATGGTACTGGTATAAAAATAGACACTCAGACCAGTGGAGCAGAATTGAGAACTCAGAAATCACCCCTCAGGCTTACAGCCATCTGATATTGGACAAAGGCAACAAAAATCTACATTGGGGAAAAGACTGTCTCTTCAACAAGTGGTGCTGGGAAAACTGGATATCCATATGCGGAAGAATGAAACTAGATATGCATCTCTCACCATACACTAAAATGAGCTCAAAATAGATTAAAGACTTAAGTCACAAGACTTGAAACTGTAAAATTACTAAGGGAAAATATTGGTGAAACACTTCAGGAACTAGGTCTGGGTTCAGACTTTATGAACGCTATGAACACGAGCCCAAAAGCACAAGCAGGAAAAGAAAAAATAAACAAATGGGACTATATCAAACCAAAAACTTCTGCACAGCAAAGGAAACAATCAACAGAGTGAAACAACAACCTACAGGGCAGGAGAAAATTTTTGCCCACTATGCATCTGACAAGGGATTAATATCCATAATATACAAGGAACTCAAGCAATTATACAATAAAAAAACAAATAACCCATTTAAAAAATGGGCAAAGGAGCTGAATAGACATTTTTCAAAGGAAGACATACAAATGGCCAAAAGGCACATGAATAAATGCTCGACATCACTAATCATCAGGGAAATGCAAATTAAAACTACATTGAGATATCACCTCACCCCAGTTACACTGGCTATAATCAAAAAGATGGTGAATACCAAATGCTGGCGAGGGTGTGGAGAGAAGGGAACGCTCCTACACTGTTGGTGGGACTGTAAATTAGTACAACCACTATGGAAAATGGTATGGAGGTTCCTCAAACAACTACAGACAGATCATCCATATGACACAGCACTCCCAATTCTGGGTATATACCTAGAGGAATGGAAATCATGATAGAACACAGCCATGCACTGCATAAGGATGTTTTGGTCAATGATGGACCACATATACCACAGTGGTCTCATAAGATCACAGTATAATGGACCTGAAAAACCTCTCACCACAGTTTGAGCTGATGAGATGCGAGTAGTTGTTTAGGAAACAGCATGCTCTTTCTCAAGACATGACTTCCAGGAGAAGCCCTCTTTCATGTCATCCATGACAGAGGGGAAGCAGGCTGCACTAGGAGCTACTAGCAACCAGCCGAGGCCATAAAAGGAGTCCAGCATTGGAGGAAGCTGACCCCATGGAAGGAACAGACAAGACATGAAGAAACTGGTTCTGGAGACAGGATAGAGCCATTGAGTCAAACCTACTGGAAGCTGCCAGTCATGCAAGCCAGTGACTCCACTCCCCTCTGCTGTGTTAGCCAGTTTGAGTTTGGGTATTCTGTTAGTTCCAATGGATGCATCCCAGTGGATACATCATTCCACGTACAGTGGCCCCTTCCCTTTCTATCTGAATGAGTAAACCCTTTTCAAATCACATCTCTAGCCAAGTTCCAGTAAAAATCTAACCACAAAACTAATTATGGTGAGGAACTGTGCTCACACTCACCAAGTCCCTGGCATTTTGTAGAGTCCATTAAGGCTACTTCCATAGGTTCTAAAATAACCAAATAGCTCTGTGGAGTTAAAGAGAGGATGGGCTTGAGGGATACGTAGGTCCAAAAGATAAAGCTGAAGAGGTGATTTTGTGGAAATGAGCTTTTTTCTATGATTATTTTTAAAACTCATTATAATTCTCTCTGCTCATTTTAATTACTCATGAACACATGAGCATGTGACCTGTTGAAGGGACCAAACACAGAAACTATGGACAGAGTTGATATGAAAATGTAAGTAAGATGCATATGATCTAGATTTACCTACAACAACGTTCTTTCTGTGCATAACCCCAACCCTAACCCTAACCCTATCCTCAGACACACATAGATGATGTGCCTCTTCACCTAAAGCATCTAATTTGTTTGAGGAACTCATCTGGTGTTACACAAAGTGAAGAAGTTACACTGTGGTATTAAAAACACTACCACACTTCAGTCTCCACTACTTCCAGAAAGTCAGTGCTATTCCCAACTTCCACATTTGCAAAGAAATGCAGTTTTCGAATTTTGTCATCAAAAAATCCTTATCCTGAAGATTTTCATGGGTAAAATAATGAATCAAGATTCCTATCAAGACTCAGTGTACCTGTTCCCATTCATAGAAGTGCTAGTCACATGTTACCTCTTAGTCTGAAAATAACAAATTCCACATGTTTAATTTAACAGGAAATCTAATAGCCTACCTAATGAAAGCCTATTAAAATTCAAATAGGTACAAGAATTTTATTTGCTTTAGTGTATTATGCCTTGATAAATTTTAATAAAGTTGAATTAGATTATAAGGAAATTTCAAATATTTTGACGATCCTTCATTCTTTACATTAAAAATGTATTACCTCTTTTCTGTACTTAAGTATATTGTCCTTTCCTAGTAGACTCAGTCATTTCATTACCTACACATTCATTATCTACTACAAGCCAGATGTTAAGTTAAATGATGGAGGTAAAACCTAGAAAGCTAAAAAGGTGTTTTTCTTAGCCTTTGAAATAAGTCAGATAAGAGGGTACTTCAAAAAGTTGATGGTAAAGTAGAATTGAAAGATAGTATAAATCTTTTCACAAACTTTTCAAAATACCCTCATGTAACTAAATAAGAAATGTGATAAGTGCTACAATACAGATAAATACTAAGTGCCAAGAAAACAGAGAAGAAAAGTTTAATTAAGCTTAAGAGTTAGGAGAAATGTCAAGAGTAACTTCAAAAGACAGTGACGTGTGAACTGGGTCTTGAAGGATACATAGGAACTTCAGTAAAGGTGCAAGTAACAAAATGTCACAGAGGTGTGACGTGTATGGGACATTCAGAAAACTGTAATAGGCTCAAGGAAAAGTAGAGGATAAAGGGAATGGGAAAATACAAAGCTGGAAAAGTTAGGTAGGGCCTCATATATGAGGTGAATCACATTGAACTACCTTCTAGAATAACTGAGAAATATGAAAAATTTCTAAACAGGGAAGTGGTGGTGGATTTGTGACACACTGGATGAATCTGAGATTTTGGAGGTGAGAGCTACAGTAGAGCAAGAGACCATCCCCCACAGGTCCCTTGTGTCTTTGCATATCTTGCAAATGAGCCCTCGAAAGCCTTTGTTTCAGGATCTCTTTTCAAGGATGTCTGAAGCAAGCGGCCTTGGAAGAAGGAATGTGACACACTGGATGAATCTGAGATTTTGGAGGTGAGGGCTACAGTAGAGCAAGAGACCATTCCCCACAGGTCCCTTGTGTCTTTGCATATCTTGCAAATGAGCCCTCAAAAGCCTTTGTTTCAGGATCTCTTTTCAAGGATGTCTGAAGCAAGCGGCCTTGGAAGAAGGAGATGGCATCTACACCCAGAGCAAAGAGCAGGCAGAGTTACTGTCCAGTGTAACTGACTCAGGCTCCATACGCTTGGGAGTCCTTAGTTGTCATCTGTCCCCTTCCCATTATCCTATGAAAACTGGGCTTAGAGAATTGGCACAAAAAATGCTTATACTTCAGCTACAGCCATTGCATTGACTCATCTGTCCCTCTTTACCCTAATTGCAGACTAACTTACTAGCTTGCAAATAGGGTAAAATTTCAGACCTCTCACATTTTTTGACAAGAGATAAATAGAAGCCACTGCAATAGTTCAGATCAAAAATAATGAGGACCTATGTTTGCAGAGAGCAAACAGGAATGCAACATACACCACCACAAGCGTCACTTAACGAATGTCAGACATACTCAGAAGCTGCCAAACACAAATCCCATAAAGACTAGAGAGAAGATTGGGACTGTGCAGGAGTAAGATGAACTCTTGCAGAACTAAGTTCAGAACCAAAAACGAAATATTTAATACATACTCATATAGAGGCCCCTCATCTGCAAAACCTGCACCCTAGATGACTTTCTTCCTCTAGTCAAAGTCAAATCTACCATTCTGCTAACTTTCTCAGAGATGGATTGAAACACTAAATATCATTGAATTTAATCCAACTAAATTAAAAATTAAAAGCCTCAGCCAGGAAGCATGCTATAAAATTGCTGTAACTATTGTGTGACCATCTTAAGCAGACATCACTCAGTTGCCTTGAATCCAGTCATACTCCTTACCCAGCAATTCATACAGAGAATTCAGAATGGATTTCCAAGATTCCCCAGCTTCCCTTCCAGCAACATCAGCAAAGTGTGCCGCGCTGCTATAGACATGCAGTCGATCTATGCACTCCAGCACGAGGTTGATCATTCCCTGGAAGGTAAAAAAAAAATCACTAGCAGAAACTGTAATTCCACTTACAGACCAAAAATGCTAAGTTGATTTTAAAAAGAAGCCTGATTTAGAGTACGTCTGTTAATCATAAAGAGAATTGTGCTGGTTTATTCAAAGGACAGGAAGAAACACATTTACATCTGAAGTGAAATGTTCTTCAAGTAGTTCAAGTGGATTTTAAATCCTGAGTGGCCATTCTCAAACAGCAGCAGAGAACAATATAATATTAGATACTTCATACTCGTATTTGCAAGGTTTAATACGAGACTAAATGAATTGGTCATAATGGCATTCTGTTGTTAAGTAAGCATAAGAGCAGGTACTTATCCTTAGATAGGCACTATTTCTATTATTACTAAATTAAGGATATAGTAAATTAAGTAAAGAAAAGCTCATGAAAAGACATCTTTAAGGCAAATCAAAAATTCATTATAGAACTTTGTAAGATCCAGCCTAAATTAGAAAATATGCTTTTATTATGATTGCTAGGTCAAGCTTGTCAGAATGAGGCAAAGCACATGAAAAGAACAGCTATAAACAGTTGACTAATCAAATTAACTTATTTCATACAGAGAATTTAAGAGACACCATGGACCTAAGAACAATTCCAGGTCCCTATACAGATTGTCTTATACGAGAAATTGGAACAACCAACCAAAAAAATAATCTAAATCAATATTTTAAAATTTCCCAGCCCAATGTTTACTTTTATATCATCCAGATATTAAATAAATGTGGTGTATTAAACAGTCCAGCAACTGGCATATGTGAAAAGAAAAACCACCAACAAACTATTCCATGTTGTTACTACTTGTTTATGTCGAGGTTTCCTTTGGTCATTTGTTTTGTATACAGAAGTGGAAAGGTCTTCAAAAATTAATGGCAGTTTCAAAGGCTTCTGATGGGATATTAGAAAAAAAGCTTTAAAATCAGAACATCGATTTAGGGATTATGGGAACTCAGCAATGCCCTCTAACATTTTTTCTTGGATACTTTTACAAAGTCACTTTCACTCAGAAAGCTTCACTATTCCCCTATGAAAGAAAGATCCACTATGCTATGAA